ATGTACTAGTAAATCTGGAACAAATCTCTCTATGAATACCAAAAACAATGTCCTGTCATTTCAGGCTCAGCATATCCTAGAAGATAGGCCCACTCTCCTACTATGGGTACGTGAAAACATAAAAGTAGTTTATTGAAGCCGGGCACTGGTGGCTCATGCCTGTAATCCTAGCAACTAAGGAGGCTGAGAACCAAAGAACCCAGTTCAAAGCCAGCCCAAGTAGGAAAGTTCATGAGACTCCAAGTAACCACCAAAAAGCCAGAAGTAGAGCTATAGTTTAAGTGGTAGAACACTAGCTTTGAGCAAAAAAAGCTCAGGGACAGCACTTAGGTCCTGAATTCAAGCCTCAGGATGAGACAATAGACAGACAGACAGACAGACAGACAGACATATAGATAGATAGATAGATAGATAGATAGATAGATAGATAGATAGATAGATAGATAGATAGATAGATAGATTATATATATATATAACTGACCATTTGTTCAGTCAGCACATCGAGTTCTTGTAGGAACTATTGCATTAGCAGTTCTATGAAGTAGATATCATTTACCGTGTTAGAAAATGAGAATGAAAGAAGTAATGAAGCTTTCCCTAAGCTAGTAATAGTAATAGATCCAATGTTCTTTGCTCTGGAACATGCTGCTCCAAGAAAGAACCACTCAGACTAAGACCCATGAACTCCCCAGCAAGTCTCAAAACATTTGTCACAGAGGAGAGGCTGAACTCCATATGTTTATCATTTGTATAAAGATCAACCACTGCGGCAAATCTACCACTGGGTTCAACCAACGTCTGGGTGTTTGAGACTCCACAGCCTTAGGAGAGAGTTGAATGAGCAGCTGGGTGTCGTGGACAAGGCCTCTGGGTTTTTCAGCCCCACACAGCTTGCCAGACAATAAAACTGAGCGAAGCTCTGGTCAAAATGACTTTTCCCATCTCATTACAGTTTCAGTATTATGTTAGCAACCCTGAAATCTAATGCCCCAGGCCACTGTGCATTCTTTTTATGCCTTAATCCAATTCTGCATAAATGCTGAGCGAATTTCTCAAAGGATCCTGCAGTGGGATGAGATGAATCAAACGATTAGTAACAATGCCTAATTACTGATCTTATGACTAAATTCATCAGACAAGACACAGCAAGCATGTGTGTGTGTACGCACGCGCGCGCACTTAGGATGGTAAATTTGAAAATTACATTCTAATTTTTATTTTGACTGCTCTACTAGATGACATGCAAAAGTCAAAAATTTGAAATAAAACAGAGTAGATTCATTATATATGCATTAAAGACATCTGAATTCTTGTGTGCAGATGTGCCAGTCTGGAGCTTGGACTAAGAGCCTGGGTGCTGTCCCTGAGCTCTTTTGTTCAAAGCTAGCATTCTACCACTTGAGCCACGGCTCTACTTCCAACTTTTTGGTGGTTCATTAGAGATAAGAGACTCACAGACTTTCCTGTCTGGGCTGGCTTTGAACCATAATCCTCAGATCTCAGCCTCCTGAGTAGTGAGGGTTACAGATATGAGCCACCTGCACCCAGCTTGACATCTGACTTTTGTGAACTATATAACCACAGCAATCAATAGAGATAACTGCAGGACAAAGGCACCATTTTAACCCAGAATTTCAATGAGGTGTAAACTCTATCCAAGACTTCCTTGTCTACCATACAGACTTGTAATTCTAGCCACATATACTCAAAAAATAAAAATAAAAGTCCATCAGTTAGCATCTATTTTACCAAGCAATAGACCCTTTTTTAAGTGACCCTTTTTAAATCAGCCTTCAATGAAAATATTATACTAATAATAAATGTGTGAATCTTGAGGAAGGACAGTACCAGAGTCGAGTGTGTAGCCCCAGACTTTGGAATCTAACGCATACTGACCAGTGATGGACACGTCCACTCATATCTGTGCCCCCTCGTTTGGCAGACGCCACCAGCATACCTGTAGCCACTGTCCTCTAGGACTGTGGCTGTGATTGTTCAAAATGTTATCATATTTATTTTAATCTTAATACTTATTAATAACACACATAAGGGTCACCTGGGCCCATACCCAGTCATGAGCGTGACAATGACACCCTTGAAGCAGTTCCACCCCTCCACCCACCTCTCCAAGGCTGCACAGGAGAGAAAAGAGGGCCCTGGATATTTTCAAATACCTGGATTTCCAGTCTTCCCGGGTTCTCCTTTCTGCCCAGTGACAGGTGAGCAGCAGTGACAGCAATTCCAGAGGAAATCAGCTGGGTCCAGAGTGACGTTTGCAAAGGGAAAGGGCATAGTGGAGGCCCAGGGCGAGCCCAGGGTGGAAGGAGAGATGGTGGGCTCGGCCATTCCAGCAGGGTTGGTGTGGGGGAGTTCCTCTTCCCCCTGAGCAGGACCCCTGGATGGCTTTGGGCCCTTGGGGAACTCTTTTCCCTCAGATATCTTCATAAATTTGGCATGTGGTGTGGTCTTCGCGATCGTGTCCAATCCAGCAATAACCAAAACCATTAAAATGGTGCAAAGCCAAGAACACACAGACATTTTCGATGCTGGAAGATAGAATAGGAAAATACACGCAAATTACATGAGGTCCTAATGAAACCACCAAATGGCATAAATGCATGCTTATATGAGAAAAATAAATAAACCATAATCATGAACAGGATGCATAATATAGAATGATATACTGTGGGTGTTACTTTAAATGTTAAGTGTGTACTTGAATCCTAACCGAATATTTTAGATACCTGAAGTATTTCTTATAAGGACCACTTTGCTTCCGCTCTCCTTCCTGCTTGCTTTTTCCATGTAACATGCTCTAAAATGGTGCTCTCAATCATTCCAATGATCTTGCCAAATAGCAAACATGATCTATGATAAATGCAACATGACTTAATAGCTCCTATGCCCTGTGGAAAACAAATATGTATAATTTCCTGACTGACCTCACTCCGATTTATAGGAATCAAATACATTTGTATTAGAGGGAGATGAAAAATATCGAGCTAAATACTTTATTCCAGCAAACTCAATTATTTTTAGAGAAAATACTGGTGAAATAGTCCTTAAATCTACCAGGGTTAATGTTCCTGTGGGACAGCCCTCATTCAGGATCTATTATAATAAATGGAGAGGGAGACAGTAAAAAAATCATAAATTTGAATCTTTGCTCTGTGCATAGATTCTTTGCACACTGCTTAATTCTCCAACTCTTTGCTTTATAATTTAGGGAAATTTTCTGGGGGGAAAAAAAGTCACATTTTCCTTGGCATTATTTTAATGAGGGGAAACTACGATGATTCTGAAAAAAGTCACATTTATCTTAGTATTATTTTAATGAGGCAAAGTATGATGATCCTTAATAAGGTTTTTTTAGCAATGTCTGAGGTAATAAAAAATATGATCCCTAATGAAGCAAAATTGTGACAATTCACAGAATTCCATTCCCTATTAACTCCCAGCCCTCGGGTGACTGCTAACAGCTAGCAAGATTCTGGGTTTGTATTTTAAGATACAAGGATGGAGAAATTAGTATGAACAATAAATATCATACAGAGAATGAAAATAAGATAGGAAACTAAAACCTTCCCACACATGCACAGCCCCTGCCTCCAATAGGTTCCTTATTTTATCAATCCGATTGGTTCTCAAAATGCCTGTGCCAGGCTGACATCACACTTCTCACCTTTGAACCAAAGGGTTATATACTTTGCCCAAGACCACAGAAATATGGACTTAGGACTTAAAGCAAGGGCTGCTTAATGTCAAAGTCTAAACGCTTTCCTACCAATCATACTCCACACAAGAATGGAATCACAGCACAGCAAACCCAAGGGAAGCTCAATGGAAGTGAGATACGGAGCAGACAGACATAAATCAGAACCGCCGAGAAGAGACAAAGATAGGACACTTCATCTGCAGATTCACAGAAAAACCCAGCACTGTTCGCTTTTCTTTGAGTTAGTTTTGTTACCACTGTCAGCCATTCAACTGAATCTGAGGTATCACAAGCAGTGAGAAATTATATGCCAGGATGCCACACAGGCTACGAAAGAGGAATGAGAGAAGAAAATGTGAAAAGCATTCTCTCTCTCTCTGTTTTTCTCTCTCTTTCTCTCTCTCTCTTTCTCTCTCTCTCTCTCTCTCTCTCTCTCTCACACACACACACACACACACAACATCCACCACTCAAAAGTGAACACACAAAATGGAGTTCCCATGTGTCCTCCTGCTAAACCCAACCCTGGCAAAAACTGACAGCAGACTATTATTTGAATATAAAATAACAGACCTTTCATTCATTTGTACAGTTGCACTCACTAAAGTGTCCATTTGTTCAACACACATTTATTTGCCCATCTAAGAAGTTCTAAGTTGTAATGTTCATTTTTCAACCTAAAGTTTTGTACATCTCATTGTTGCAATGGGTCCACCTGTATCCCTTATTTAAGCAATTTGTTTTTTCCCTTCCCTTCCACAAATTATACCAACATCAAATACAGTGAAAACAGGAGTTATACCATGGGAAGGGGACATACAAAGCAACAAAGAAATCATCTTATAAATGTGTTAGAAACAAAAGCAAGAAAGAAAAACCATTTGAGTCCTTATCTTAGGGTTCATTTCACCTAACGTCAACTTATCTGACCGTTTCTGCTGAGGGAGGCAGGGTTGGGGGGGCGCAGGGGAGGAGGGGGTAAGGGAGGAGATGGGAAAGGATGGAAAGGGGAAACAAAAGAGGAGACAACGATACTTGATAAGAAATGTACTCATTACCTTGCTCATGTAATTGTAACCCCCTTGTACGATATTTTCACAATAATTTTTTTTAATTTAAAAATTTTTAAAAAAGAAGTTCTATGTAATGTCCTAGAACCAAAAGACAAGTAAAACTGACCCCTTCCCTAAGGATTTTTTGAGCTATAAATATGAGAAGTGCTTCAGATAGAGAGAAATCAGAGAGTTGACAGAAGACCACAAGTGAAACACTGCTTGTGTGAGTACAGAGTAATCCACAAGACTAACTAGCAGTAGCATTTTTCTTTTGGTCAGTTGGTCGTGGGGCTTGAACTCAGGACCTGAGTGCTATCCCTAAGCTCTTTCACTCAAGGCGAGCACTCCAACACTTTAAGCCACAGTGCCACTTCCAGTTTTCTGGTGGTTAAGTGGAGATGAGTCTCACAGATGTTCCTGCCTGGGCTGGCTTTGAACCACGAGCCTCAGATCTCAGCCTCCTGAGTAGCTAGGATTACAGGCGTGAGCCACTGGCACCCAGCAGAAATAGTATTTTAAAGTAATGACAAATGTTTCCTATTCTGTCATTTCCAATTGCCACTATTCCCATTTTACCTGCAGGCAAAAGACTGGGCCCTATATATTCCAGAATCTCATGTAATTAGGGTCCCAGTTTGGTTTCTGCCCATAAGAACATACTTATGGGAAGATTGGTAGGACAGAAAGTAGAAGCCATTCTTCTCCTTCAGGAAATAGCCAGTGAAGGCATGGGCTTTGGCTGATGGGAAGTTTCCCAGTGGCCTCTGCTACAACCACAGGAAATACCACCTTGCTTCTGTAGGTGGCGCTCAGTACCAGCAGCAGTAGCCTGTAGGTCCTACCCTTAGGACAGGAGCAATACCCTGATGGCAGACTGAAGGCAAACCTGACAGCAAATGGCAGATCTGCCTTTGCTACGTTCTCTTCCTTCTAAATCACGCCTCCTCCATCCTCATCTCCATCTGTTAGAATACTCGGTCTTCTAAGCCTTCAAACAGACCATGCAGAGTAATCATCACATTTCCCATTGGGTGTGTGTGTGTGTGTGTACTCAGCCGTGTGTGTGTGTGTGTGTGTGTGTGTGTGTGTGTGTGTGTGTGTGTGTGTACTCAGCCTTGAACTCAAGGATGCTGTCCCTGAGCATTTTTGCTCAAGGCTGGTGCTCTACCACTTGTGTCACAGCTCCACTTCTGGCCTTTTTTGTGAGTGGCTGATTGTAGATAAGTCTCACAAACATTCCTGCCCAAGCTGACTTTGAACTTCAATCCTCAAATCTCAGCCTTCTGAGTACTTAGAATTACAGATAGGAGCCACCTGTGTTTGGCCTCATTGAATAAAATCCTTTCTTCCCATATTAAATCCCTTTCCATCAAGCACTATCCTATTGTCATATTTTCTTCTTCTCCATTTAATTTTGCCTCCACCTCTCCTCTGAGCTCCAAGTCTGCTTACCTCTTCCTGACTCGATTTTTCTGTACTCGATTCTACGGTCTCTTTTCTTTGTTTCTTTATTTACTGGATGTTTTTGAGGCAGAGTCTTGTTATGTAGCCAAACCTGCCTTAAATTCATGATCTCCTTAGCCTCCCCATTGACTGCTGGGATTACAGGCATGCATTGCCATGTCCGGCTACATTCTCTTTTTTACTTTTAACTCAACTACTGTTTACCCATTTGTATCATTATCTGTTAGACAACTGACAAAGTTTTGGCAAAAGATCCTCCCACAATGTTCTGAGTCTTAGAATTTATCATCCATATCAGTATTTTACTTCCATTATATTCTTGATGTGAACTCCCCTCTAAAGACTTTTGAAATAATTTTATGCACAGAGATGTGTGGACCTGTGTGCATAGCTACATGGACTGCATTTATGGTGAAATTTTTTTATTCTTATATCAAGCATTTTTATCTCCAAATCTGTGCAGTTATAAAGAATTATACAGTGAGCCTTTATGTCTGTAGCAAGCCTTTGCCATTTGAATAGCTGTTTTTAATTTTTCACAGTGTTGCATTTAAATCTATCTTACACTGTACTCTTCCTTCCTTCCTTCCTTCCCTCTTTCCTTCCTTCCTTCTTTCTTTTTCTTCCTTTAGAAGTTTCCTGGAGTTGCATGTTCAAGAGACAGTTCCTGAGAAACTATTCCCTCCTGCCTGGATTCTTCTGTAAATTCAGACAAGCCAGCCTTTTAGAGTTCAGATCTTGACTTCGTTCACACCGAAAGAAAGGAGGAAAAGCTTTGTGTCTACAGATTCCTGTTTCCCATTTCATTTTTTTTGCCAGTCCTGGGGCTTGAACTCAGGGCCTGGGCACTGTCCCTGAGCTTCTTTTGCTCAAGGCTAGCACTCTACCACTTAAGCCACAGTACCACTTCAGGCTTTTTCTGTATATGTGGTACTGACTGAAGAATAGAACCCAGGTCTTCATGCATGCCAGGCAAGCACTCCAACACCAAGCCCCATTCCCAGCCTTCCCATTTCATTTTTAAGAGCAATTCCAGAGTAATTGCAATCAGCTCTGATGGGCTTTTCACACATCCCTCTGTATTGATAGATACCTCAAAAGCACCATCATTTCTAGGGTCCCGTGGGAGACGATTGTTTCCAGTGTCGAAGTAAATGATCCCATTGCAATTTTATTAAGCACATTGAATATAACATTCCATTATTCCAAGTTAAGTGTTTCTTGTGTTTGAAAAGCATGCAGTAAAAATTAAGAAAAACATTCTCTCAGCAATTTTGTCAGATGGAAAGAGACTGGCCTTGGTT